TCTTATAAAACTCCTCAGAGAAAGTCTTGAAGGAAATGCAGGTCAAAGCCCCCCAAAAAAGCTCTTGATCAGAGATTGCTGGAGGAAAATCTTCCCAGATGCCGTTTAATAGGCGGCAATCACCCCAGGAGTGGGAAAGCCAAGTACGCTTGAAACATGGTTGCAATTCCTAATAGGTCTTGTCACACTTAAGGCGCTGCAAGCTCCATCCAACGAACAGCTGAAGCTGGCTGGCGATTCATAAAGCCAACAGTTTAAAGTTTATTATGATGAAAGCACTTAATGACAGCCATCGCTAGGGGCCCATCATTTATAAAGCTCTGCTGAGTATTAGACATGTAGCATGACCACCAATTTTATGTCACAATTGCTACCATAAAATGACCTTTGGTGATTTTTGCTGCATGTGGTGGACAGCTCTTCCTTCACATTAGTGCTCTGTGGCTTTTCTTTGTAGACTATTATGCTGTCTAAACCTTATTGAGCCTCAACCCTTGTTATTACCCCAAAGGCCTGTCTACAAAAAAAAAAAAAGAAAAAAAAAGAAAACTCTCATGCTCGTTTATGGCACTCCCATAATTTACAGTTCTTACCAGCCTTGGCTAGTGTAATATTTTAATGCAAATATTCTTTGCCATTGCATTTGATGAAAAAAAAAAGTTCCCAGGCTTCTGGCTTGGGCAATATCCATTTGATGAGAGTTCACTGAAATTAGCCCCTTCTTCTCTGGTCAGGTTCCAATGAATGGAGCTGTTTTCACTTGCCTGTTAAAAACAGCCCCCAGAAGGGGGAAAAGTGATTAATTAAACCTCCCTTGAGAAAAAGAGAGAGATCCTTTAAGATCTTATGTGGGATAAACCCATCTAGTACAAGAACAGTGATCTTTATTTTCCCTACATCTAGCTCTAGTGCAAATTTACATGCAAGTAATATTATTTGATTAGGCTTTTTCTAACCTGCTTTGTGGAGTTTAGAAAGTGTTTGAATACAAGACCACTTTACTGTTCTGATATAAACTGTGGCTGGGAAAGTGGTCTGTCCATGCTACACCACCTTTAAATTGTGTATATAATTTCATAAACAATATAAAATCTGCTTCTAGTCTCCAAAAAAAAAAACCCAAACCCCAAAACCACCACCACCACCACCAACACCACAAGCATGGCACACTGCAATTTTGGAAGGATTTAAAATATGTGATTTCTGCTGGTACCTACTGTATTGGGTTTTCTATAAAGCTTTTTTTCAATAAGGTAAATTGTTACATGACAAACTCATCTTCCACCATTATCATCTGCTGTTTGTGTTTAACAACAGGAGATCCGCTCTAACAAAACTGTTGAAATGGCTGCACAAATTACTCAGCTGAAAGCCTTTCACCAAACAAAACAGTATTAATCAGCAGTTCTTATGAAGGTGCTAATTAAAAACAATTTTCTTCCTCAGTTTGCAATACTAAGCCATCTTCAGTTGCACAGTTTCCAATATACAGCTACTATATATGCTCATACTTCAGGGCCTCTATTAACGATTGAATCTCCCATTAGCCATTTTATTACATTTCTGTTTACTAGCTTGTTGACATTTTAAAAGTCATAGTATGATCTGTTTAATCTATTAAAAAGTGTATTAATTGAAAAGTCAGGAGGAGGAAAGGACAGGATTAAGACATTCCAAATACAGACTTCCCAGGCAGAGACCACATTGAGCTATAAGTACGGCCTATGCCAGTCACCTATCGAGGAGAAGAAAAATTTGTCAATCACAAGTGGCATTTCAGCTTCCAAAAATCTCCTGACGATTTTGAATGTCCTGCTTCATTTTAAAACATAAATAGCTTTTGCCTTACATTGAAATCCACTCCTTAGGGAAAACAGGTCTGGATTCCAAATTCACCTTTCTTCAAAGGGGGCTAACTCATTTCATGTAATTCCTAAGGCCTTGACCCAGGAGATCCTAAGCTCTGGGAGCCCTTGGGGTCTGTAGACGAGAGGCTAGTTTCAGTAGTCTAAACAGTTTCTCCTCCCTCAAGGTCGAGGGCCATCTTTGCGCTTTGATTTTCTCTCATCATAACCTCCAAAGCCCTTCCCAGGAAAATGGACAAGACTGACACTGTACTGTGTCTGTATGGTCGATGGCAAGTCAAGTGCTGACAAAGCACAATGGCCTCCTAGGTGGAGGTGGGGGTGGGCGGGAAGGGGATGACCAATTCCTTCTAAAAAGTCCAAACTATTAGGAAAAGGTATGCTCCGTTCAGCTCCTCGAGGGGGGGTTTTGGGGGGAGGGAAACAAACCCCACTGCCTATAGCATTAAAACCAGGTTCTTCAACTGTCAAAAGCAGTTAACTAGTTTAGGACAGACACCTGGCTGTTGAAATAGGGCTCTAGAGGGCCACTAATCCTTCTATTCATTCAGTTAACTGCTGGATCCCCAAAATTGATTCAACAGGTATGTAGTGGCAAATTCGGCCCATACTGAAGCCAAAGGGAAAAACAGCAAGGGGTGGGCGGCTCTTCTCTGAAAACACCCGAGGAACCAGCCAGAAAAGCTTTTATGGCCCCGACAAGTTTTCTGCTGAATACCAAGCAACTAAATTACCCTTCCCTAATGGAAGTTACATTTTCATGCTCAGTCAAAAAGCCAACAAAATACACGATTTATACAAAATAGCATCAACCTCTTAGGTAGCCTTTTCTAGCACTTATATCCCAATTCACATCATATGTCTTGTGCTAAAATAAAATATATTTTTCATAACCAACTCGAATGTGGCTTTTCAGAGCATCACACGATAAACTACCACGGGTAATATCAGAAAAAATTTTGCACTGACAAAATTAACTTAGTCTAGCAAAGGTGCCCTAGGAATTTATGTTTTATCCTAAACATGGTACAGCTTTGTCAGGAGCTAGGAAAAATGTATAGGGACATAATACTTATGGATTCCTAATCAAACAGAAGCCTTCCTTTTGAAATAGCTACTTCCACAGTGCCCATGTAATGAAATGGATCATACATTTTAATGGCAGTTATGGGGGTCTAACAGCATTATGTAAAAATAAATTTTCATCATAAAGCTTAACAGATATATCAACATGCAAATTTTGAAGGTCAAAGGATTTTTGACCTCATGATTAGAATTCTCTTAAAATTTGATGTAACTTTCTAGATCTTGATGACATTTTGAACATAACCATAGTTTACAATGCCAGTCTCCTATAAATTTCCAAAGACTCTAAGGAGTAGGACTATTCCCAAGAAAAGTTCTTTGCAGAAAGAATAACTAAGGAACCATTAACCTTTTACAATTAACAATTGATATGTTTTTATTCACACACTAAACTAAATAATAAGCAGGCCCCTGTACTGTGTATATTTGTAGGTAGGGAATATCATAGGTATCTCCTTCAAAGTTTTCCACTCACAATCTTTTACCAGGATCTGCTAACATTACACCCGATGCAGACATAAGAGACAAAATCTTAGCAGTTCATTAAAAAAATACATTTTCTTCTCAGAGCAATATTGAAATTTCTCTACCCTAAACACACAAGTGAAAATGAAATTCTTGTCAATCTCTGTATTTTCATGAGATGATCTAATTATTTTGTTGTTTATGTGTGAAGATAGGTGTATATTTGTATATATCACACACTCAAAAGAAAGAATGGGCAGGCTTGGGTGTCAGTGCTATGGATGGAGTTTTCTTTGTCTCAGATTTTGTGACTGTCTGGGTAGGGAAAAAGTCTATGCTTTTTCCCCCAGTATGAAGAAAGTGGAGGACAGCTATGTGCACTGTTATTTAAAACATCCCAAATGCTTCTGATTTTTAAACAAGAAAATATTCAGCCAGTATGCAACCCATACAATCCCCAAAGGAGAGCTACCACTAGTGAACTACTCAGCTAAATGGCTGGTTTGCATTGCCCTGGTCTTTATCTAACACTGAGAATAGACTGCTGTTTTGTCCAAAGAGGAATAAATTGCTGTTATTGTGATGTTAGCCCATCACTTGGCATTGCAATTCAAGTTTTTGTAAGAAAGAAATGTATGATCTAACTGAGACTTGACCTATGCCTTCAGAGAACCATCTAGGTGCTCTAATGGAGCAGAAAAAGTGGTGAATATAAGGACATGCAAACCGATGGTGGTGAAATATTTGTTTGATGATAGACGTTGAACAGAGGAAGACTTTTAGGAGTGGGTGTTTTTATGACAGCCAAGTTTGTTTAATGTGCAAAAAGGCCCTCAACAAATCTTCCCTTTCCTTTAATTTTTTTTTTAAAAAAAGGTCCTTATATTAAATACCCATTATTTTGCCTCTAGTATTGAATGAGGATGCAAAGATGACCTGTTAATGACATTACAGCTCCGTATGCACAGATGATCCTTTACAGATAAGCATCTGGATTTCTACAAAAGCATTTAAACCATTTTGAGGAAGCACCAGGAAAGAATATACTCAGATTCCCTGCAGAAAAGTGATTCTCTGTTAGTTCTGGGTAGCACCCATTTAATGTTTACTATACCCTGGAAGCACTTCAAATAACAATATATGTTTGGTTTAAATAAGATAATTACCAGTCAGATATTTTTAAATCCCATACATGCAATCCAGTTTATCAGCCATTTGTTTAGAATTTTTCTGGGAAGGACTTGTTTTTAAAGTGGCCTGGAGACAAGCAGCAGTTAGATTTTAGACTCGATAAAGGCTCACTTTTCATTCATAGTCAGAGCCTAAATGTGCTCTTCTTGTACCTAAACAGATAATAAGCACTCAGCACACTCCCCCTTCTTGACACAACACACTGAGACTAATCACACATAATTGGAGAGGAGGAGCAGAGGGCTGGGCAAACTATTGTGTCCGAAGGACAAACGGTCAGTTTATGATGCTTTGGTCTGATGCAGTGATTTCTTGTACATCTATAGGGGAAAAAAGCATTGTGTGTGTGTGTGTGTGTGTGTGTGTGTGTGTGTGTGTGTGTGTGTGTGTGAGAGAGAGAGAGAGAGAGAGAGAGAGAGAGAGAGAGAGAGAGAGAGAGAGAGAAATAGCTAATATTTGGGGGAGGTTCCAAAGAAATGGCTTTTTTTGGCGTAAAGAAGAATCATGATGTGCGTATTGTTTACAAGTCTCCCCCTAAACAAGAAAACCTCTGCAAAAAACTCTAACTAAAAATAATTTTGTTCCCAATTAACCAGAAAAGCATTAGGTTTACCACAAGTATATGTGAGTTTTCACGGACAAACAAAACAGTTTGGTTCAGGAAGAGCATGAAGCTGGCTGGGCTGGGAGGACGAGGAAAACAGCTTTGGAGAGCTTAAGAATCACTGTATCTAAAAAAAGGTAAAATCTGAAACTCAAAACCCTACAATATTCTGGAGGTGAGATGAGGCAGAAATCTTAAGACTTTCCAATATCAACAAGCCAAAAACAAACAAACAAAAAAATCAACCACTTTTCTTTTATCTTATCAATTACATGTTCAGATTTTTTTGGAAAAATATATGACTATACATATTGATGTTTGCCTTCTCTGAGTTGTTTAGTCTTTTATCCGTGTTTGGTTAAAACTAGCAGAAGTGGATAATGAATGTTTTCTTCATATGTATCCCATCCTTCATTTTTCAACTGAAAATTAAAAAAAATAAGGGAGGATCAGTTTTTACTTATAGATAATAACTTACTTTAACCATTTATGAGAAACATCATCCAGAAACTGATACACAACTTAAAAGCAAACACAAATTTTAGCACTCTATGGAAACCCAACGATAGCATTATGGAAATACGAATCATAAGTTACTTTCATGAGCAGCACTTTTCAGAACACAAACCAAACAGCATTTTACAAAAAGAATCTGAACAACAAATTACTGACTCAGGAAGTTAATGACATTACCCAAGGATTTCACCAGAAAGTGTGAAGTTTTTCACCAGGAGGTTAACTTACCATCCCTAGACCAAGCTATGTGTAATGACGCTGCAGCTCCATCCTCCTCCCCACCCCACTGTGTTAGAGATCGCCAGACATTAGCAGACCCCGACAATACCTCGACAGGACAAGGTTTGCCTGGGCTTAGATATCAGAAAGGCCCTGTAGCAGCTCCTGAAGAGTCTGTTATTTGTTTTCTTTTTTTACATTAATGATGTGAAATTCAAAAATTTCTTTATCAGAGAAAAATAATGAATTAAAATTTAAAAAAAGACTCACAAATCTAAAATTAACATTCCCTTAATTAGCCAGAATGGTAAAAAGATATTTTGCTAGTTACAAATACCAAACTCAAATTTTTTTGAGTGTCCAATTATGCTGAGATCCTCGATCAGCTGCTTTTTTTTTTTTTTACTACTTGTTAAATATTTTATTTTTTAAAAAATGATTTGGAGGTAAGGACATCCTGAATATTATTTCCAACTGGAGAATGAAACAATTTAGGGATTGATATAAATCGGCCAAATACGACCCCCAATCTAAACAAATGAAGCAGCTCAGCTCTGCTTTCTTTCCCAGAATGGCCAGAAACAAAATATGGGCTAGTCTAGGACAGGGTACTGTAAACGTAATTGGAACGTAGGCCTTCTCTAGAGCATAGTCCTTAGCTGGGAAGTGGCTCTGGATGCCTTGGGCCCCTCATTAATTAACATACTTTTCTCCTTCCATAGGGAGAAAAAGCTGATTTGGTCTTTTCATTCTAATCTACTTTATTGAGGTGTATGTTGCATAAACACTGAAGTAACTTCAATTTATTTCCTAGAAGATTGTCAATATGGAAAGATCTTTACAGATTCTTGTCACCCCAACATAGCAAAGATTTTTAAAAATCTTTTTTTTTTAAATCACAGTTCCCCATTCTTTTCATTCTTAGAAGAATACAGGATAAATGACCTCACAGATTTCCTATAGCAAAACCACCAGTCAGGACCTACTAAGTTCAAACATCTCTGATCCTACTTGCCCCCCACCTGGGAGACTGACAGAGGGAATTCCCCCCAAATGCTTTACACTGGGTGGAGAGAGGCAAAGGCAGCTGAATTCTTTCCTCAGGGAGTGGGGATAAAGGAAAGTTGATTACTCAGCTTGAATCAGCTGACCTACTCAGTCACAATGTACTAATAGAGAGAGACTCAAATGAGCTCTTTATAAAGTCCCTGAGGTAATATGTGGGATAAATAATTCTTCTGTAAATATGGGCTAGAAACCACTTTTAACTTGGATTCTGTGCTGACCTCTGCAGGCCAAAACAGAGTCTTCATTCCTGGAAGGGGGTAGGTCCAGTTCAATGCCATCTGTGAGCCCTTCCAGCAATGGAGGAGGAGGGAACCCTCCAAGAAAATATTATAACCTGTCACCAGATCATGAACGTGTCAAGACTATAGCATCAGGGTACTTGAAACACACACAAAACAGTTAGAAAAATACCTGCTTCGGTGGGGAATGTTATATGGCTTAAGAGTAATTCCATGTATCAAAGCTATATTTCTGTGCCCAATTAATAATTATAATTTCAAGAAATGAAAAGGCACCTTTTTTAAAAACATGAACAAAAAGCAAATTGTGAATAAAACAATTTTTCAATTTTGCAGGTTAAAGCAAGGTCTTTGAGGACTGAACTAAATTACATAGCTGCTATTAGTAGCATTATGCTTTACTTCATAATTGGATGTAACACACTCAGCCTTACCCTGTGAATAGCTGCCGCAGGAGTGGAGTTCATACTGTTTACCCTTTACAGTATCCACAATTATCAACAGCACACCACACAGATTCTGAGCACCAGCCACTTATAATGTGGCATTCTGAATAGATAAGCAGAAATGCAATATGGCCGTTCTTTTGACACAATGTCCTGACTTTACCACGGAGCCTGAGACTATTTTTCATTACTAAGTGCACATACATACACGTGTGTGTGAGCACATACATACATACATACATACACACACACACAGAGAAAATAAATCAACACAGGTAGTTTTGAGATAGAAGAAAATAATGCTTTGGAGGAAATGACATTTTAAAGGCTATTTCTATGAATGAGGGGATTTTCATTAACAAAATTCCAAGCTAACAGTATTTCCTTCCATTTCCTAAGTGAGATCTCTATGCCCCTCAACAATTTGCCAATCTCACATCTGGACACGTGTGATCCACCCAGCTGGGCAGTGTCTGCCATAGCTAGCTAGCAAAGGGACCGAGGGGTAGGAGTGGCAAGCTGGGTTGCGTTTTTCCTCCCAATGCCTGGGACAGATGCAAAGCCAATATTTTAAGAGCATCCACCACCTCGTGAAGATTGGCTCCCAAGCAAGGTGGCTGAAGAAGGTGGGTGCAGTATAACCAAAGCCCTGGCAGAAAGTCTAGAATGGCACAGATTTGATTACAGTCTTGCTTTTTTAACGGAAATAAAATTTCACAGCTAACAATGAAAGGTGAAAAGTTTAAGAGGCAAAGCTGTTCCTCCTGATCACTGACTGTTAATCAGCTTCATGGGTGGCTGCCTAAATCTGTGGATTTTTTTTTAGACTTGCACTACTGCCAAGATTGTAACTAATTTTTTCCCCCTGTTGTAGGAGGAGGGGTGAAAAACTCTACATAGGAGGCAGCTGTGTATGAGTGACACGAGGCACTAATGCAGAGGGCAAAATTAAAATTCATGAATCTCTTCACAACCATTTGTGTAACAAGATTAAGACGGGACAGCAGCAAAGAGCTGTATTATCAGACGTCTTACAGTTCTCCAGCTGGTTACGCTCTATTCCAAAACAGTAGGGCTAAGAGGATAACATGCAGCCTGAAGGAAAACTCCTCTCCTTCATTTGGGAGCAGTCTCATCCCAGGGAAGATAGAAGTTTACGAGGAGATGGAGGGGAAGACAACTGGTTTTCCCCACTAGGAAGGAAAACTTTTTAAAGCTGGGGCTCACTAGCATAAGGCAAATATAAGAAAGCTTCTGATGTCAACATCCCCTACCCTCCCTACCCTACCCTATCCTACTGTGGGGAGGCTCACATCCCCAAGCAAGTACTCCTGGGCTTGGCTCACTTGTCCAGCATGCAGCACTGCTTCCTATTTTGTCCTGAGGATGGATGGGATGGTAGTAAGAGAGAAACAATGGAGCTAGCTCTCTCAGTGGCTTTGATATCTATTCAGTCCTTTGGAAGGTGCTCTCTGAATCTGTAAGGAGGCAGCATTCACTCCAGACCAGCTCTGCCCACCCTGCTCACCAACACCTACCTCCACACTCCCCCTCCAAAGGCCCTAGTACAGTGGGGATCCCTTCTGTACACCCTCATTTTATAAACGACAACTACAAGTGTATCCCTTATAGCTTTGCTAGTATGCATCTGTTCTGAGAGTAATTATTCTAACGTGATCCAAGGCCCTCGATGCTGGAAAGCCTGGTGCTATATGTGTCTGTTTGGGGGACAAGAGGCACCCTTTTATAGTCATACAATCTCAGGATTTTGAGCTGGATGGGTATCTTCTAGCCCAATATTCTCATTTTACAGATGAGGAAAACTGAGGGCCAGGCAGCCAGGATTCAAATCCATGTCTCCTGATTCTAAATCCAGCACTCCTTCCCATTTTGGGCTAAACACCACCAAAAAACTTAGGTATACTGTTGCCATCATGTTATACCAATTACCTAAAGCTCTCCCTGAACATCTCCTCCTGGCAATATTGTATTACATTTCTGCTGCTTAAAAGATGACAAAAGAGATCCCTGAGGTAATATGTAAAGTGAATGAATAGGGGAAAACTCACATACTTTGATTTTTTAGACATTTATGCTGAGATAATGAATTAAGGCCCTCTGTCAATTCTACTTATTCAATAAATGCTACTTTTGTGAAACTAGTCAATCAGTCAATGATTATTTTTGAGGGTGCTTATTTATGGGCGTGCACTATGCTGAGGTAGGCACCAGGCAGAGTTTAAAGAGAAAGTCACTGTTCATTGAGCACTTACACAGGTGTGTGTGTGGGGGGGTAAGCCAAGGACTCTACCATTGACTTTTAGAACGGTCACTGAAGATGATAGGGTGGACATGTCCCACAGTGCAGAGCCCCCTCATAATCACCTGGTAACTTGGATTTTACAAGCCGACAATGAGAAAATACATTTGATGTTCCAGGAGATGATAATAATGATTCACATTTATATAAGTGCATGGCATCATGATAAAATTCATCATCAGGTGACCTCTGTACCTCTAATCTCTTCCCTAGTAACTATAGCTGGAGAGGAGACCACTCTGTTATGAGGAATGGAGAAAAAAAGGGGGAGTATGAGAGAACATTCCGCCTACCACATAATACCCTAAAAGCCATTCCTCCTGTTCTGGGGGTGGGGTGAATGATGGAAAATAGGCTTCTAGGCAACTGGATGAGAGCTGACTTACATGTAATTTTCTTCCCCTCCCCCCATAATAAATGGTGGACCAGATTCTGTCAGAAGGAATAAATTGCTAGTTATAGAAGTATTTAACTCTTTCAGTCCATAAGGTCCCATTTTAGTAAACCTTCTTCCACGGACTAAAATGGGACCCTGGTGACCCCAGGAAGTCAATGAATTTCCAGGAAGTGGCTGGCTTCCTCAATCTCAATCTGCATCCATATTTTTTCTAAAAACAAGACATTGCCTGCTATACCAATGGGTAATAAAGAGTGTTGAGAAGGCTATTAATATTTTCCCAGGAGGAAATCGAGGTCAGGCCTTTACTTTTTTGCAACTACAACTTATAAAATCATGATGAGCCAAAGGATCTTGCTGAGGTCAGATTAGCTCAGCACAGGCGATTTCTGTGAGGCGTGGAGCAATGCCCTGAAATCATCAGAGGTAATAAATGTGATCCTGATAAGCCTGACATGTATTAACAAACGTAGGATTCCTAAAAAGTTTTCTGTGGAACACTTGCCTCTTCATGTCCTACATTACTCTTCTCCTATAAATAATAAAAAGGCTGATAACACTGCTTTATGTAAGCAAGCTTAGAAATCACTCTCAGATAAGTGCTTTTGACCTAAATCTTGTAGCTCCTCGATCTGACATATAACCTCGCAACTGTGAAATTCTGTATGAGATTTAGCGGTCTGAAACTGCCAACTGACCCAGCTATAAAGCTAGGGGAGATAAGGATTTACAGTCCGATATGATACAATTAGACATTCACCTTCTATTTATTTTGGGACAGCAAAGCATTTAACCTACTTAAAGGCGGGAGGTTTTTTCATTAAAATATAAATGCTTGTTTATTATTCATTTCCATACCCTGCATCCCACAAATTAGTCTATTATGAATGGAAAGATTAGTTTGTTACAGAAAAAAAGAGTGAACTGGCGCCGTTTCTGAAAAATCCTCCTAGACGTGCAAAGATAAAAGATGACTTTGCCACACAAAAATAATCAGATACAAATAGCTGTTCAGAAGCAACACACCTAAGGAGTACTTTAATCAAATATTTAGGTTACCTGCCAAAAAGACCATGATCTCTTCATAATGCAATGCGGATTAAAGTGTTATCTAACACAAGCAGAAAACTAACCTTGGAGTGGAAGTTTGAAATGTGTTCATCATAATTTTCATGTCTTTGGAGAGAGAAACCAGCTTTTTCAGCTAGATTGCAAAACTGGTTTAAAGTAGTCCCTCGGAGTGGGGCAAACACCATCGCTTTCCCCTAGAACATTAGAAAGGAAATTCACGCATTTTCAAACTGGAAAGTGACCAGACATAAGAGACATTAGCACAAGCATTTAGAGAACTGCTCTTGGGCAGGGAAGACCCAATTGTTCTTAATGAGGCTCCCACAGAGGGAACAATAAAACTGGATATTCAAAATAAGACTAGATTTTAGTGAAAGAAAAATTATAAAGTATTTTGACAAGTTTTTTTTTCCACATCAAAAATGAACCACTCTCACACAAGCAACACACATAACAAATGGAATGATGCTGAAACTTGGTGTTTGGTACAATACACACCATCTCTCTAAAGTCTAACACAGAAACCTTTTGGTTGTACAGAGTGCCTAGAACAGTAGCACGTACCCACTGTTACTGAATACCCAGGGGCTGTTCAATAACAGCTGAAGATATGTACACAATGCAGAACATCTCAATAATATTTGTAGGTATGGGGATACACAACCTCCATTTGTTATGCCTTGAAAATGCTTTATAATCAGAGCCTCATGTCAAGCAATGCTCCATAAAAACACATATGATCACCAAGGTGTTTTTTTTTTAACAAACACGTAGAGTATTCAGATTTCACTACTACCATCAGCCTTTTCCATTAATGTGTAGTACAAGGCTACTATCTATTGGCTTCCAAATTCATTGAAATCCGTCAAAATGGCCATGATTTGAGCAAAGCAACTCCTTCTAGCATTCCAACATCTGAATTTCAATGACACTAATTTAACAGAGAAAATCAATATAAACATAGACTTCACTCAGTACCACATAGCATTAAGACATTCTTTTTTCTTCTTCAACAAGGTATTTCCTTGATTTCAGAGGAACCTCTGACATAAAGTTCCTCTGAATGATGACAACTACTAGGGTGTCACACAGGTATTTTGTTCTCCTGAAATTTTTAGGTGTTCAAATCATCAAACTATCTTTGTCTTTCTAAAGAAGTCTACAAGCTCCTAATTATTTTCAAAGCAGCTATCAACATTGGCTGCTGGCACACTACTACAGTCAAGCATCACTTTGGGGAGATTTTGCAATCATAAAAACATACCATATTTGCTCCTGAAGAACAGATTGTCATTTAGAGTGGTAGAAGAATATAGCACAGAACAGTGGAAACAACACTGAAATTAGAGCCATCAGACCCCAATTCTAGTGCCGGCTCTGATGGAAAGTCACTTAACCTCACTGTCTCAGTTTCTTCATCTGTCAAATTGTGTAACAACATCTTCAAGTAAGGGGTTGTTTTGAGGATCAAATGACATCACTTATGTAAAGCACTTTGAGAAACAAGGAGGGTTACCCAAATGTAAAACTGAAATTTTATTTTTAATAGCATCTAATCCAAGGCTACACATATTTTATATTCAATAAATATTTATTGAATTGAATTGGATGCATATGCACTCACTTCCTCAACTACCTGTATGAGGATACACTGTCACACACACACACACACACACACACACACACTATATTTTTATAATGTGTTTACATGTATATAAGCACACCAAGGCACATAATTATAGCAGCGCCATTCATGCCACTACACTTATGGGTCTGTCAGCTTTTCCATTATTAATTGCTATTTTCAGGAGGTTTTCAAACTTAGCCACAAAAATTCATTCTGATGTGAAACTGGATATAATACGTGGTCTCAGCAGGGGAGCAAAAGCCTCCATTAAAAAGGAAAAAAGAATAAAGAATCCTAGTAGGTCATTTAGTCATTTCTGAAAGCTGGTTGGCTTTTTAGATGTCTGAACAATGAAAACTGTTTCATTTAAAGCTGCCTTCCAGAATTGTTTTACGGTCACAATGAGAGAGTCAAATTTTTAAAGCTATTATCTATGTTATACATTTAAATCACTGCCATGGGCTTCTTGGGTTAAGTCGACATTCAGTTTCACAAAACCAGTCCATATTCTGTCACTAGCTTGCCGGGTGACCTTGGGCAAGTCACCTGGCCTTTTAAATCTTGCAGGAAAGCTAAAGGATGGCTGGAAGTGATCTCACCCATTGCTCATAACCTTTTTGACATTGCCTCTGAACTTCACTTACATTCTGCCCATACTGTAGTTGTTTGCATAGAGGTCTTTCCCACCTTAAGGGCAGGGTCTTTGTCTTACATCATCTTTTTGTTTCTTTAGGGCCTGGGGGCCAGAGCCTTGCCCATGATAGGCGCTTAACAAACAATTTAAAAATTGAGTTGAATAGCATGTAAAATTTTGATGACCAAATCCATATCCTGAATGATCTAAAAACTAAAGCCCTTGGGAGACTTAGAGGTCTATTTCATTTTAAGATATCCATATATGAAGTAAAGTCGCCTCTCTAATAAGCTCTATTTTCAGCTTATTGTGATGTCATAATGTTCAATCTGGGATGGCATTATATCTAGTAAGAAGAGAAATAATGGCAGAGAGTAATTATTTGAGCCTATTATTTATTTACTTTTAAATTTACCTTCCCTTCTTCCCTTCCTCCCTCCATTTCTTCCTTCCTTCTTTCCCATCCTTCCTTCTGACTGGGGACTTCTATCTCCAACCCAATTAATATAATTAAAGAAGGCAGCTCAGTAAAATGATTCAATGAGTAAACTGGATGGGGTGGGGGAGTGTCAATCAATCTGAAAGAAATAAAGTCTTTTGACCACTGGATACGCAGCTGATGCCACTCAGAAAATAGCCCGTGATTGGATGAAAGAATAAGACACACTTCTCCGCCTAGGTACAAAACAAAGCAAGCCAGGTCAGCACAGTAAAGTCTCTTGTCAAACAAATGCAGTGGTGGAAGATTGCCAGTCAAGTCTATGAGGGAATCACTTGACGGTGGGGTGGAGAGAGCCTATTTCTGCCTCTGTCTCTCCCATCCCAGTTCAGGAGATTCTGATGATATATCAGAAAGGGACTCTGGTGAGGAGGGTTGCTCCAATCTACTGGAGCCAGTAGCAGTGAATGAAGAATACAATCTTTCAACCTGGGAAGCAACTCCTGTGGAGATACAGTGACTAACTGTTCCTACAGCCACAACTATTGAAGACCCAGAAAACAAAGTTTTCACTAAGGTCCTTTTACTGTAAGTGGTTCAATATCAGAAACTTAGAAGATTTTATCCGTAGAAATGACCTTAAGGAAGAGGAGTTATTATCTACTTTATCCTGGCACCCTAAGGACCATGGGATCTTTCCATTTTGCTTGCAGTGGAAATTTTCCCTATGTGTTTCTCCCCAATTAGAATGTGAACTCCCTGAGAGCAGGGACTGTCTTACTCTTCTATTTGTATTCCCAGTGCTTAGCACAGTGATTTGCACATTGTAAGTGCTTAATAAATGACCCATTCATTCATTCATTCCATGACAAAAGTGGTTGCAATAAAATTCACCTAAGAACAGTGGCAACTTCTGGAACTGTGGACCCCTTGTAACAGTGAAATTGCCAGCTGTCAACTTTACAAAGGCACCAGAGGACAACTGCATTTAAAAGGAGCCTCCGAAGGCTCTCCAAAGGAAGAAAAGGACTTCCAATAACCAGTAGTTGTGAGATGCCCTTTTATAACATGCATTATTTATACAGTCTCTCTACCTTTGTACTTTAAATTTGAGCCCATTTTCCCTAGGATGTGTCCACAGCAAGAATGTACCTATAGTTTGGGGTGGGGGGATGTTTTATACTGAATACTCTTATAGTATTACCTTAGTAAATACCCTTTTCTAACAGCTAATTGAGGTGACTGGCTGATAATCAATGGGATGCACACCAGTGAGGGCTCATAAGCAACAGTAGAAACACAGCCCCTCAAGGTTACCTCTAAAGCCTGAGGATAGTCACATGCTGCCTTCTGGGGACCTCACCCACCAATGTTAATGGGAGCTGGGGAAATAGTCCTCGAGTGGTGCTATGCTATGGAGGTGCAAGCCTTTGCAAGCACTAAGACAGGTGCCTCATAGATATAAGGTAAGAAATAACTTCTGATAAGTTTTATAAAATGTTATTTGTTGAATCTGCATAATTCTGTTTTGGGAGGGGTGGGGTGTGATTATAACTTCTGCCTGTAAGTTTGGGATGTTATAAGATCTATGACAGGTACTTTTCTGAAATTTTTTAGTAAAAGGCACTGGGTAAAGTATTCAAAAAGGGTAATATTTGAATCTCCCTGGCACCCCAGAGAATTGTTCTGGATTGGGGATATGGACAATGAGTTCCAAATGCATCCCAGTTGGGACTGAAAATTAATAATTAATAATAATGAAAATAAGCAATTAACAAAGGGACAGATCAAAGAGTGCCTAGTCCCTTCAGCATGTGCTCAAAATAGTTTCAGTCCAAGCCACCATGAGAGTAAGTTTCTGGCCATGATGATTCAAAGGATGGTGCTATCTGTTGACAAAACGTCTTCTAATTGGCTGTGGAAAAACCAGTGATGCAGAAGGTGCTAACCCTGAACTAAGTGCACAAAAAAAGGTGTGTGCCACTCCAATTTAATTCTCTTTCCTTTGGAGGCTTTGAATGAGAAGAGATACTTTGAGCTGCAGTGTGGGGAAGGGTCAAGCTGGCCACACTCCCCAATCTGGTCAACATGTATCCATGAACACATAGTACCTTTGATTCTTTTGTGCTTATTCTTTCCTGATCTTAAGTGAATTACTAGACTGAGATGGGGAGTGCCCAGGGGATTGCATGAATTCAGGAGATCCACAGAGGTTCCATCAGAAGCCCCACCAGCAACCAGAGTCAGTAGTAGTGGCTACCAGAGAAGTAGTGACAAATGACAGTGGAAGCCTTTGCAGACAAATGTGGAAAGACCTAGGATGATGATGGCTATGGTCTTAGGGAATATGAGACTTGAAGAAAGAAGGGCTAGCTATGGACTTTAGAAAGGCACCGATACCTGCAGCCTAGCAGAGAGATAACTGAAGATACCTAAGGAGAACTTCATGAAGGCTCCACAGAGGAAAAAAAAGGGGTGGAGGGGCTGGGACCAG